TCTTCTACAGGCTGGGTTCCCCAGCTGGAAGCCAACTCCTTTGAACCATGGCCAGAGAGTCCCATGAGGTATCACAGCATCCTACAAAGAATGGAGACCATGGTGCATCCTGGGAGATGTAGTCCAGCCAAGACATCCTTCCCCCATAGAAAGGAGATTAAGACTGCCAAACTACAACTCCCATGAGGCACTATGACAGGATTTGCAAAACAAAATGTTTTTTTTTGACAAGAGTTGAAATGTTCCATGAAGTTAAAAAAAAAATTCTGATGAGCAAGCACCCAGTCAAATATAGAGAATATGTCTGTTGATGAATAATGACACTTATGGGAGTCCAGCCCAAACTATGTGAAATTCACTACCAAACACTTAGCAGGAGGTACCTCTTAAAAAGCTGTATTCTGGTCAGTAGTAGAAACTGCACTAAAAAGAAGTAAATAAAATACACTGGAAGATGGAAAGGAAGAAGAGTTAGTACTTTGTCCAAAGGCCCATTTAATTTGAAAAGAGTGAAGAAATCAATGAATAGCACAGAAGCACAAGTTTATTGGCCAGGCACTCATGTATTGGGAAGGTTTCCATTTTCTTTGGACAGTTGCATCTTTTCTTTTTCCAGAACACAGGTTCTTAATAGATGGTCACTTACTGGAAAAGGATAACAAGCAGGAGGCATAATGGTCTTCTCCTCTTTAATAATGTGTTCTGAAAACATATTGTCTTTGGTCAACATTTGGTTTTGTTTCACCTGACTGCAAACAGACATTCTGAAGCAGATGACAGGGTCTAGTTTTACTGTAGTTTGTACTTCTCAATCATCTGCTAAAGTACTAGCTTTATAGAGTTGCCCCAACCACCACCATTAATCTGAAGTAACCATACTCACACACCTGAGTAACAAGAAACGTTCCCTCTAAACTTTTTTCCATCTATTTGTGGAATAAATTTCGTTATGGTCACCAAGGCATGTGCGAATGCGCACCACCAATAGAAACACATGCTGACAGCTGTGGTCACTGCTAATCAGTTGGGCTACACCTCAATCTCTCCCAAGTAGCTGCCCAAGCGCTCAGCTTATACGGAACACAGATAACAACTTTTCCCTCTACTGTAACGGTAGGGAGTGTCACAGAAGTGGATTGAGACTGCAAAGCTCAGGGGACAAAACATGGTGTACACAGCCTTCCCATGACATGTCACAGCTCCAAGTTCACCCTGCAAATCAGTGATAGATTTAGAGGTCTAAATCCAGGTCCCAGCCACCATAGCTATGTCTACACTCGCGGCTTCTTGCGCGAGAAATATGCGAATGAGACTAAGCGTGGAATATCAGAGACTCATTTGCATACCTAATGAGCCGTCATTGTTCAAAAGAGGCTCTTGCGCCAGAAGGAGCTGTCTACACTGCCCTTTGTGGCGCAACAAAAATCCTCTTGCACAATGCCACTATGCTGATTATTTTCAGGAATAACGGCATTGCACAAAAGGGTTTTTGTTGCGCAAGAAGGGGCAGTGTAGACAGCTCCTTCTGGCGCAAGAGCCTCTTCTGCAAAAATGGCGGCTCATTAGGTATGCAAATGAGGCTCAGCAATATTCCACACAGACTTATTTGCATATCTCTCACACAAGAAGCCGTGAGTGTAGATATAGCCCAGGTGTCCATAATACAAGTATCAACTTTAGCAGAGATACCAAGAATTTAATGGGCATGTGAACTAAGAGGGTTAGCATCCCCAAACTCTGGAGTTCTGAGTGCTTGACACCGCTCAGGATCAACTGTTAGCATGCTCTCAATCATAAACATAAAGCAAGGCAGTAAATGACTGGGATTTTTTGAAGTCACTAATGATTTGTGGTGTCCAACTGAAGGCCCCTTAAGAGAGGCCCAACTCTTAGCAAGTGCCTGAAAAAGCAGGCCCCACTCACAGTGTTCCTTGTAAGCTGAGTGTGTGTGCAGTGTTCAGGAGATTCAAATGCCTACCAGCTGATTGATTAACAGAGTACCTACAGCTAGGTTTTCTATTTCTACTGGTAGTGCACATTCACACATGGCTCAGTAAATTTTTATGTGCAGTCTGCACATGGAAGGAACATAAAAATTTACTGAGCCATGTGTGAGTCTGCACATGGAAGGAAAAAATCCATGCATGCATGGAAAAGATTAGAGGGAACATGTCTAAATGTACCCTTCAGAATCTTTGTTTACCCTCCCAATGAGGGTGTGAAATGTGGATGTGCTATAATCCCCATGTTATGGGTGGAGAACTGAAGCACAAGGAGTCTATCGGACCTGAGCAAGGTCACAGAGGAAATCGGTGGTAGAACAGAGATTTGATTTCAGGTCTCATGTAGCAGACTAGCACTTGAACCACTGTATCCTCCCCTTCTTCTAACTGTATGTGGTATCCCAACAGACACACAAAACCATTAGTCACATTTGCCTGTATTGGCCAATACCCATCTACATAAAAATGACATGCAGAATATTATAGTGTTGGCAAGCTGAGCATGCACATGCAAAATAATAACCACATCATAAAGCATGAGCTGATAAGATGCTAAAAGACGCATTTGATACATAGGAAGATACTCTAGTTAAGGTTCTTTAAGGGAACACAGCCAGGCTAGCTGATTGGTGAGCCCACAATCTGCCTGACTAGTTTCCTTGGGAAAGTTCATTGTGTAACAGGATATAAGAGGAAGAAGAAAAAGAAAAACTAGAACAGGGGGGGCTAGTCTTGTAGTAAGAGCACTGGCAAAATGCATTCAATTCTGCTCTCTGCCACAGACTTCCTGTGGGACTGTGATCAACTCATTCTCTGTCAGTGCCTCACCTCTATACCTGGGGAAGCAATAGTATCTCCTGCCTCGGAGATGTTGCCAAGCCAACTTCAGTAAAGTTAGTGAGGCTCTCAGATGCTCTTGTGACAGAAGAAATACAAAAACACCCACTCCATTAAATGATTCATTAATCTATTACTTCAAAAAGGATATCTAGAGCCTAACTCACCTTAGCAACCCTAACAAATTGGCTGTGTGTACGAAACAGAAGAAAAAAAAAATCCAGAGAAGGAATGATTTCAAGCTCCATGGGGTTACTAGGTAAACAGAAACCATGCCATTTTTTCTCCCTTAAAAAACTATTACATTACATTACCCATAACTCTCAGCACATAAGACATTCACCGCAACTCAGGACAACTGTCTAAACTTGGTTTATAGTCTACGTGTTTAACATATTTCTACTGCATCACATATCTCCTATTTATTTTAAGTTTCACGGTTGACTGAAGAACTAGGTAGTCTACAGATGCTACTGTTTTACTATCATATTTATAATGTTTTTTATTGAGACAACATCTGGGCATCTCTAAGGTGACATAACTAGAATTAGTACAGTATGCTCCTATAAAATCACTATGAAAATAGCCTGAATACAAGAATGAAAAGATACACAGCGAAGCACTGTAAAGACGCTGCAGTAGAAGCAATTAAAAAGGTCAGAAAAATGGTCTCTACTAATCCCAATTCCTTTGTATGACCTGTGGGGATAACATGGACACAGAAGGTGGATTAATAAACCCTGACAGTTAAAAGGTTAAGAAATAGCAGCATTTCTGTGACCCTTGCTCAGGAATTCCATAGACTATTTAATTATACAAACAAGCATAGATGTGCAGTGTCTTTTAAAAACCTCTGAATAAAAACATGAAGCATGTCTCTAGCAATAACCCGGCCCCCCCTCACCCCCCCCCACACAGAATAATTTCGGAGGTTCATGTAAACACAAATATTACAATAGCAAGAAATCAATGACAATCTTGCATACATCATCATAGATTGTATTTAGCATCTAGATTACTTTCCCTGAAATAAAGTGGAGCTATTAAATGTAATCTGACAGTATTACTTAAACTGAAATTAAGCATTTCAGGTCACAACACCAGTGATTTCCATTCACAGGACGTTTATTTTACAACCCTAACACTCCTCCCAGGTGCACACAAACCAGGGATAAAAAAGTTTAGGAAGCTGCAATTTGTTAATGTATCAGTACAAATGGCTTTCAAGGCTCACATTCCTCTCCCCCACGCCTAACCGTTCCTCAAAATAAGAGGGATTTAACTACTGAGCTCAAACTACTCTAGAGAACTTGGTAGGTCGCGAAGCACAAACTAGAGCGGAGGGGAAAGTGTTTCGGGCTAGGGCACAATAAAGTATGTTTGCAATTAGCAAAAGCAGAAACAAAGGAAAGAAAAACGAGGAAGAGGGGGAAGAAAATCCGCAGCCCAGCCGAGGTCTGTCCGATCCAGTAGTGACCTGTGAGGGGGACCATGGCTCTGAGCCTCTCAGCAATCGCCCTTACGCAGCTCGTGGAAGACACAAAGTTGCCAAGAGAACAGCCCGGGGCTGGAGGGTTCAGTGTGTGGGGAAAGCCCCCCCCCCCGGGGGGGGGGGGCCGGGGGGAAACTTCCATGGGCATTTTCTCCAGG